ATGAATGGAGACTTCCCGGCACAGACAATTAGGCTAGGGGAGATTCCTGGAAGAGGCAGGAGGAACCTAAACTTTCACAAGAGATGATATAAATAATCAGTCACACCTGTAACCTTCATTTATCACCTAAGTGTTTTTATTGTAACCTTAAGAGCCGTTTTGATATGTAAATCTTTTGTGCTCCTCCTTGTAAACAACTGGTCATGTTTAAATACTACTGGATTTATTCAATAAAGGAGCCTTGATCAGGACTTGTCTTGGCTCCATTCTTTGCGTCCTTGTCCCCGCATTCCCACTCTCTGTTTCAGGAAGACCCAGTTCATTGTGCCGCAGGCCGGCACACCTATAGTTGTACATTAGGATTCTATTAAGTAAACATACACATTCTAAGCCAAGAAGGACTTTTGAGAGTCCAACTCCACCTTATTAGGAAAAATAAGAAACTTAAATGCAATTATAAGTAACACACTTATCCAAAATGTTTGAGATCATTAGAGTCTGATGATTCAACCAAGCCCCCCACCCCACAACTAACTCAGACTTCTAATGTTCAATATGCATGCCGTGTTTTCTCAGGTAAACCAAACCATTTAACATGCAAGAAATGGGTCTACACTTAATAACACCTCAAGTATGTCAATAAATAAGGAAGGTGGTAAAGTAATTTACTCTTGAGCAATATTTGATTTTTTTAGTATAAAGTAAAATCCCAAATACTATCTAGAATTATAGGAAGAAGTGCACAGATGTGAATGATATCTGTCAACATAAAAAACGTTAAGGACATCATAAATATTAGGCTGGGCTTCCAATAAATTTTATATCAGCCATACAGATTATTTAAATGCTAGAATTATTTAACATATATTCAAATTTAAGAAAATAATGAGCTTCCTGAATAAATTACAACCACAGAGACACTTTTTTTTTCTTTTGCTGTCATAAATGATCTTCTAGGACCATAAGTCAATGAAATGCATGCCTTATAAATAATGCCTAGATTTTGCCTGGGTTGTTACTGTATACTTTTTGTCATCTTGAGTTATTTCCTTTGGTTATATTTCCTGGTGTGGAAGGGAAGCTCATGATCCCCTTTGGATCACTTACAATGCAAGTGTAGCTACAGCACTGCCCAACTCCTGACTGGGGACCACAGCACTGCACAGTCCTCCTACCACACGTGGACTTTCCCTTAAATGATAATGACCTGGTGAAGAGGAGGACATAGTCATAAAATGCTCCATAAATGTTACTTTTATTACTATATTTTCTCCCCTTCTGTAAAGTAACACATATTTCTTTACTTAAAATCTCAAATGTATTCAAAACTTTTAGATGCGAAGCCAATGTTAAGCTACAGCTTGTGATACCAGCAAACCATATTCATTTTCCTCCTCACACACCAGGAAGGGCAGTAGATGATGGCCCAAGTATTTGGGCCCCTGCCACCTACACAGGAGACCCAGATGGAGTTCAAGCTCTTAGCTTCAGCCTGGCTGCTCTCTGGCTGCTCTCTCTCCCTTTCAATAAATAGATCTTTTTTCGAAAAGCATACTGACAGAGAGAGAGTGAATGACAGAGAGAGATTTCCTATCTGCTGGCTCATTCTCCAAATGGCCGCAATGGCCAGGGCTAGGTGTTCTGAAGTCATGAACCAGGAGCTTCCTCCAGGTCTCCCACCTGGGAGACAGGGGCCCAAAGACTTGGGCCATGTTCTGCTGCTTTCCCAGGCATGTTAGCAGGGAGCTGGATTGGAAGAGGAGCAACCAGGACTGGAGTTGGAACCCATATGGGATGCCAGAGTTGCAAGGGGCTTAACCACTGTGCCACAATGCCAGCCCTAAATAAAGGAACCTCAAAAAAACCCTTTTAAAATGTATGTATGGGGCCAGTGCTGTGGTGCAGCAGGTTAACGCCCTGGCCTGGAGCGCCAGCATCCCATATGGGCGCTGGTTCTAGTCTCGGCTGCTCCACTTCCAATCCAGCTCTTTGCTATGGCCTACACCCACGTGGGAGACCTGGAAGAGGCTCCTGGCTCCTGGCTTCAGATCGGCGCAGCACCGGTAGTTTTGGCCAATTGAGGAGTGAGCCATCAGATGGAAGACCTCTCTCTCTCTCTCTCTCTCTCTCTCTGACTCTCCTCTCTCTGTGTCACTCTGACTTTAAAATAAGTAAATAAATCTTTTAAAAAGAGTATGTCTAAAAATACATCTAACATCATGAAATGTAGATATAACTTAATTTGCCTTCTATTGCTAAACAAATGTCCCAGAGCAAAAACAAAACAACAAAAAAATAAGATTCTCATTCAGTAACTTCTGTTTTATTGTTTTATAATATCCACTTTTCTTTGCTGTATTATAACATCCCCATAGCCTGACTTTCTGCATTCTACAGAGTAGGACAGAATATTGTTACTTATCACTCTGAAAAGCTAATAATTCATTTACTTTCATCTGAATTTCCTTTTTAATGTGATATATAAAATGATGGTTAATTATATTTCTATCAACCAAACTAAAAGGGGTTCAGAAATTTTTTGCGCTGTGACTACTAATGTGTTTCACTTCAGTGCTTCTGTGTGTATGGAAGACCAAGACAGACAGACAGATGCAGATAGATTTATTTATTCAATGGTAAAGATTTTTGGCACCTCTAAAATATAGTGATGCTAACTTGAATTTTATAATAATATTTTTTGCAAAATGTCTCAAGAATATTTTTCTGCAGGTCTCATAAATTGTTGAAGAGCAGAAAGAGAGCTCTATAAATTTATAAAAAGGAGCCCAACTACCATAGATTTCAAATCAGGAAAGCAAGAACTCACAAGGAATAAATAAAAGAGTAAGACCCAAAATTTTGTAGCATCAGAAAATTATATATGATGAAGCATTTCTGGCTCAATGAGAGTAGATATTTTCTAGTTATCAAACTCCATTGTTAGAAAATTACGGGTAATTATATGGAGGATACACTTTTACTATACAGTATAAAATGTGCACGAAGACTGATGTGCCACACCTGAAATATATATTTTAATAAAATATTCGGACATGGAATACTCAGAAGCTTGACATCTCAGAAGAATATGGAAGTGGGAGAATATGAAACTGTTGATTAGATACGAAAAAAGAAATATCATTAAGGATATGATTTGATAAACTAAATCTATTTAAATAAACTCCATATATGTAATGTGTTATTCCAACTCTTTTATAGATCCATAACAGCAGAAAAAGATTAAGGAAAAAATGAACTTTCAAAATCATATTTAAGAATTTTTCCTATGCCTGAGACTCGGAAGATAGGCAAAGTCCAAAGCAGCACCGCAGATGCTTGTAGCTGAATGCATTTATTTTACCTGTTAGCTGTCAATACAGCAAAAACTTCTAAACCCTGGGGCTGGCATTGTAGTGCAGCCAGTTAAGCCACTGCTTGCAACATGGGCATCCCATATTAGAGTGCAGGTCTTTTTTCTTCTCTTTTAAAAACATATTTTATTTTGCTAGAAAAACAGATTTAATGTATTTCATAGACAGTTCTAAGAAGTTACCATACTTCCCTCCCTCTCTCAAACCTCTTCCTATCTCATCTCTCCCCTTTAATTTTTGCAATAGCACACTTTCAGTTTACTTTATCACCACAGGCTTAATGCAGGTTTGAGCCCCAGCTGCTCCACTACTAATCAGCTTCCTGTTAATGTACCTGGGAAGGCAGCAGGAGAGACCCAGATGGAGTTCCTGGCTAATGACTTCTACATGGCCCAGCTCTGCCTATTGCAGCCATTTGGGGAGTGAACTAGCAGGTGCAATCTCTCTCTCCTTCTCTCCCTGCCATTCTGCCTCACTCATATATAAGTAAATCCTTTTAGAAACTGCAAATTCATTTGTAAAATAAAAAAAAATCAGCTCTGATGTCAATCCCCATTTGCAGACATATTCTGCTTCACTCAAGGACTTCTCCCTTGTGAGAGTGGGCCAGGCTGGTCTCATAGCTTGCTTGTTTCAGTGGTCATCAAAAAGTTCATGGAAAAATGTATTATGAAAAATCACACACAAATTTCAAAAATTTTGCCCTTGGCTGGCGCCGCAGCTCAATAGGCTAATCCTCCGCCTGCAGCGCCAGCACACGGGTCGGGGCATCGGAATCTGTCCTGGTTGCTCCTCTTCCAGTCCAGCTCTCTGCTGTGGCCCAGGAAGGCAGTGGAGGATGGCCCAAGTGCTTGGGCCCTGCATCTACATGGGAAATCAGGAGAAGCACCTGGCTCCTGGCTTCGGATCAGGGTGGTGCGCTGGCCGCAGCACGCCGGCAGCAGCGGCCATTGCGGGGTGAACCAACGGAAAAGAAAGACCTTTCTCTCTGTCTCTCTCTCTCACTGTCCACTCTGCCTATCAAAAAAAAAATATTTTTAATTCTTGCCCTTAAATTCACTTTTTTAATTCTAATTTTCACTAACTTGCTTTCTATAAACTCACTGAGTTTTCAGTTTTTTCTACTCTAGTCTGCCGAAAATGGCCTCCTTATTTCTAGAATGAACTGGATAATTAAAATCAAAGGATTTTTTTTTTTACAAAACTATGGCAAACAATGTTTTAAAGTCACCATACATAATCAACTAGCAGAGTCTCAGATATTTTACCAGATCAATGGTAAAAGATACAAAACAGTGACAATGATGTTAGCAAATATTAGAAATGATTCTAAATATTGAAACATTTATTTTTGAATATATCTTACATGCTATATTTCTCAGTTTCTAAGAAAACATGGTATGCACCTGCAAGTATATGCTGTATATGTTCCTGGTTGACACTATTTTTGGCTTCATGCCCATTAGTATAGTTTATATTAACAAGTTCAGTTTTAAAATAATTGAATAGCTTTGGTCCAATATTAATACCTTTGAGTAGAAAAAATAAGAGGACTTGAGTAGTGAGATGAATCAGCTATGAAGTAGAAGTATATCTTTGCATGTTGTAAAAGGATATGTAACTACCCACCAGTAACTCCAAGAAACATACTGGCCACAACAAGGCCAAATGAATTTCGAGCCACACACTCGTATCTTCCTTGATCAGCTTGCCCAGCATCATAGATGGTCAGCGTGCCTCCACTGTCAACATGGAACTTACCACTCTCAGTGATCTGTACACCTGCCTAGGAAGTGAAGGAGAGTTGTAATTTAAAGAAAACACAGTTCCTATAAGAATAAAATACTTGCATTTTCTTTGATGCCACTTCATTTGTTCAGCTCTGGACTATCAACACATCCTTCCTCCAAAGCTATTCCCCATCCCTCCTTTCTCCTCACTTAACTGTCATAGCTCCCAACTACATTCATACTCTGTGGTTTCCATTTAGAGTCTCTGAAAATTAGATAGATGGATAATTAACATCACCACCATTTATGTCAGGTGGATTCTATTGCTTGTATGGAGGTAACCTAAATCATACCCTTTACAACCTTTTGAATGGAAGAGAGTTGATATGAAGATTAAGTGTGTGTACGTAAAAATGTCTGGTGTTAAGAGTATTTAGCATTCTATCAATTTGTTTGTGATAAGAAGCTAATTTTTAGAAAATACACCTTGAGATATTTTGTTGAAAGGACCACAGGATGAAACATTTAATAGAATGTCAAGGGGCTGGCATTGTGGCACAGGGGGTTAAGCCTGCAACCCAGCAACCCTTAAAGGCACTATTCCTGCTCTGCTTCTGATTCATCTCTGTGCTAATGCACCAAGAAAAGCAGCAGAAGGTGGCCCACGTGCTTGCAGATGGAGTTCTATGTTCCTGGCTTTTGGCTGGCCCAGTCCTGGCCTTTGAGTCCATTTGGGAGTGAACCAGTGAATGGAAGATCTCTCTCTCCCTCTCTCTCTCTCCATCTCTCTCTATATATATACACACACACACACACACCTCTCTCTCTATACACACACACACACACACATATATACATATATATATCCCTCTCTCTTGGTAACTGAACCTTTCAAATAAATAAATTAAATCTTTAAAAAAGAAGGTCAAATAAAGCTTTAATATTGACCAAAATATGTATTTTCCTCATTTCCCTTTTAATATAAAGATATACTAATAAGTAAATAAAAGTTTTTACTTAAAAATATCCAGGCTATGTGAAAGGACATGAGCTAAAAAGTTCAAGTTTTGACCAGCAGAATCAACTTAGACAGAAAATTGCTTGTGGTACTTGGCTACAGCACAAAAGAAGTGAGCCCATGAAAGTGCAGAGCCTTGTACTATACAATAACAGCAACAATAAGCCAGTGGTTTTGAGAAACAGCTTGGTAACCCATCACACATGCTACAGTTGATTACACTTCTCCATAAAAACTACCATTCAAGTGGTAGATTCATTGTTTTCATGGAACATCTGATCAATCACTTCATTTTGTTGAAAGTATATGGCTCAAAGAACCATAGGAAGTAAGATACATAAATAAAAAGCTAGTGTTTCTTTAAAGCCATTCAGGTTTCGAACCCTTAGAAGTACTTTTTTCCCCCCATGCCTCTTTACTAGTAAGCTTTTTATTCCTTTCTGGTTTCAGGCTAATGACCTACTTTTAATCTACTTCTGAGTTATTAATTTGCAGTGGTTTTTCACTAGCCACTAAAGTTAATTTATATATGACAAAGGCACTTTTTCTTTAGAAGAATTTAGTTGTGCTTATGCAGTTCTCATTACTATGCACATGAGAAAAGATATACAGTAGCAAAGCCCTGAGCCAAAAATCAGATATAGTCACTTTAAACCTTTTAAAAAAGCAAAAGATAAACATGCTACAGCATTCAAAATAGTACTTGCTAGCAAAAATCATCATAGCAATAAATGAATGTGAGAATGATTATCTCCTTTTCAGGAGGTCAATACATCTGGCAGTGTTTGCACCATTACTGCCCTTCTAGTTAACATCTTACCTTACTCCACGTAATTATGGGCTGCGGTTCTCCGTGAGCATGACAGGAGATGTTTATACTCCTTCCAACCTCAATGCTCATGTCCTGAGGAAGTTGAGTAAACACCGGGAGATCTGGGAAATGGAGCCCAATAAGCCTCACATCAGAATCATTTTTGTCAATAGATGCCAGCCTTGTCAAACAGCCTAACTCTGGATCCAACACGGGTTAGCCACGTTCGCATCTAAAATCAATTATTTGGACATCTATGGGAATAATAAGCATCACATACAGACCAGCAGTAATTAGGGCAGAAGTGAGAGCAGGGATAAAGGAAGATGACTGCCCCAAAGCTTTAACCACGTTTGTAATATGAAAGGTCTGCGGAAGGCTTACGGAAATGTGCATGATGAAAATGCTATACATGAGTTTCAAGTTCTTTCAGATAAACTTACTTTATTTAAACATGTGTAATTTATTCATCTTCATCTGCTTGAAAGGGAGAATGACAAAGTGATTGAGACAGACCGACATCTTCTGCCCACTGGTTCACTCCCCAAATACCCATAACAGCCAGGGCTGAGCCAGTCTGAAGCCGGAGCCAGGAACTCTTCCTGGGTCTGTCACGCAAGTGGCAGTAACCCAGGAAGCTAGATCATATGCATGGTAGCTAGCACGTAGCCAGCAAGTAGGCACCCCAAAGGATGGCTAAACTCACCACAATGATATCATTTAATTCCATTTTTCCACAAACTTCTTGAAGTACTGCTGCGTGTGTTTCTTCAGCGGAGTATTTAATATGGGACATTCATTATTCTTCCTCAATATAATTTGCTAGGCCTGAAGTAACACTAACTTGTATTATTAAAAATTATTTCTGGCTAAGATATAAATATTGAATTCTTAAAGAAGAATATTATTTTCTTGAAAAGCACAAACTATCACAACTCATCTAATATAAAATAGATAATTGCAATCCCTATTAAGGAAATTAAATTTATAAACTTTAAATCTCCCACAAAAGATATCCCCAGGAAAGAATGAAAATCATTTTACTGGAGAATTCTGTCCAGTATTTAAGAGAAATAACAATTTAATACAATCTCTTCCACAGAATAAAAGAGGAGGAAATACTTCCTGATATTTTAAGAACTGTAATATAAAAATCAGATAAAGTCAATACCAAGACAAAAATTACTGTAGAACATCTCTCATAAATATATACCCCAAAATCACTAGCAATGTATTGGCAAATAGAATTCACCAATTTAAAAAGGTTTATACAGTGAGCAGGTAAGGTTTACTGCCAGGACACAAGACTCTTTCAGTCTTTGAAAATCAATCAATAATATAATTCCATCATATTAACAGGTGAAAAAAAGTCACATAATAATATCAGTGAAAGCATTAAAATTTTGAAGACGTTAAACTTCTTTTATGATATTATAAACTCTCAGAAAAAATGAGAATAGAGAAGAACTGATATAATTTTACAAAGAACATGCAGAGAAAACCTACAGTAAATGAAGGGTAAATGCTTTCCCCTCAGATAAGGAATCTGGCAGGGATGTCTGCTCTCTCTAACCTCGATCAACAGAGTGCTAGATGTTCCAGTCAGTGCAACATGGCAAGAAAAGGACATGCATGGCCAACATATTAGAAAAGAAAAAAACAAAGTTGTCCTGATGTGCAAATGATATCATCTCCTTTGTAGAAAATCCTATGAAATCTTAAAAATACTCCCAAATGAGTTGACAAATTCACAGGACACAAGATAAATGAAAAAAAAAAGGGAAAACACATTATATTTATAAATGCAATCAATGAACACATGCACACGAAAATGTTGAGAACACAAGATTATTTATCATTGCTCAACAACGTGAGATAGTTTGAAAGCAATCTAAAAGGAAGTACATATGTATGCTGAAAACTACAAAATGCTGATATAAGACCTTTTGAATAAACATATATTCATGGATTAGAAATCTCCAGATATTAGAGATATTTCTTCACAAATTGATATACAAATTTAATACAATTACTACAAAAATTCCAGAAAGATTTTGCTCATGGATGAATACAAGATTACTCTAAAATTTCTTGATGAATAATGAAGTGAGAGAAATCACTCTACTGGATGTCAAAGCTAATCACGTAGCTCTAAAAATCAAGATTGTGAGGTATTAAGAAAAGGGTATACACACACATATCAATAGAATCCAGACTCGAAACCACACCAGTGGGGGGAGTTCCAAGTTGGCAGAGTAGGGAGGGAGCTTACTGTGCTAGTCTAGGTTTTAAAAAAGTGGAGAGAGTACAGTCTCAGGGAAGAGCTAGGGAGAAAATGGCAGAGGAAACTGCAAATTAGAGGGACATGGTAGATCTACGTGGAGGGTATGGATGCCCACAACTTGGGACTCCAGTGGCCAAGAGCCAAGGCATCAGCATTGGAAAGTGAGGTGAAACCAGACCACAGCAGTCCAAGCCACTGGTGAAAAAGCTGCAGGAAGAGCCTAGAGGGAACCTGGCATGAAGCATCAAGGGGGATAGTGTACCCACCAAACTAGAGGAGAAAAAAAAAAGGAGGGACATGTTTTTCTCTCTCTGGTCACTTTACAGTGGCGTCCTGTAATAAGCCAATAGAGGTGGTGCCATTTTGGACATACATAACAGCTGTGTGAGCTAGAGTCTAAGCTCAGCAGTCAGCTGAGTGGAGACTTCTGACTCTGGTGGGGAGAACTAACAGGGGCTGGGAGTTCCTGACTGTGGGAAGCTTGTGAGTTGGGATTATGAATAAAACTGAGGCTGTGCGGGAGGACTCATGGTGTGGCTGGGACTTTGGGCAGTCGCTGTGGGAGACCCCAGACATGCAGGGCTTCCTGGTTACCTGGTGAGGACATTGCTGGAGAATCTGAGCTTACACTAGGGACTGCATGGATTCTTTGTGTGGTCCTTGGGGCACAGTGGATGAATATTCTACCCACTGGGACTATCGTTCAGACACTGGTATCCTCTGAGGGGAGGAGCTCAGCTGAGCAGAATAAACTTCCATCTGATTAAAAAAAAAAAATAAGAGGAGATTTACCATGCCAGACCTGGGTATGTCACTTTAGACATGACCTTCACCCTGGAGAAATGAACAGAGGTTTCTGGTCACACACACTACAAGCCTCTAGATATTCACTGAACACAGACACTCCGATTATCTACAGAGGCATAGTACAAAGATAAAAGCCACCATAGTAAAAAATCAAAGAAGAAACCAACGAGTATCTCCACAAATGCTGAATAACAAAAGCACCAATTCAAGAAACAAGTATAAGGAAGACAACATGATGCCCCCAAAAGATGATGATATGGAAGAAATGAGAGAAATTGAATTTAAAAAATTGATCATAGGATTACATAGAAGTTGGGGCTGGCACCATGGCACACTAGGTTAATCCTCTGCCTGCGGTGCCAGCATCCCGTATGGGTGCCGGTTCTAGTCCCAGTTGCTCCTCTTCCAGTCCAGCTCTCTGCTGTGGCCTGGGAATGCAGTAAAGGATGGCCCAAGTCCTTGGGCCCTGCACCCACATTGGAGAACAGGAAGAAGCACTTGTTCCTGGCTTTGGATCAGCGCAGCTCCAGCCATTGTGGCCATTTGGGGAGTGAACCAATGGAAGGAAGACCTCTCTCTCTCTCTCTCTCTCGCTCTCGCTCTCGCTCTCTCTCACTGTCATCAACTCTACCTGTCAAATAAATAAACAAAATCCTTTAAAAATTTACATAGAAGTAATCAGAAGCATATACACTGAAAGCTATACAGGACATGAAAGAAAATTTTGCCCATGAAACTGAGATCTTAAAGAGAAATAAAAATGAAATGAAGAATTCAATAGAACTAATAAAAAATGCAGTGGGGAGTCTTAACAATAGAATTGGAGAAGCAGAAGAAAGAATATCTGATGTAGAAGAAAAAGCACAGGAAATAATACAGTCAAACCAAGAACAAGAAGAAGAAATCAGAAAACTAAAAAACACTGTTGGGAATCTACAGGACACTATCAACTGATCCAATATACAGCTTTTAGGAGTTCCTGAAGGTGTGGAAAGAGAGAAAGGATTAGAAGGCCTTTTTAGTGAAATAATAACAGAAAGCTTCCCTAGTTTGGAGAAAGAAAGGGACATCAACTACAAGAAGCACATAGAACTCCTAATAGACATAACCAGAAACGATCTTCAGCATGACACTTAGTAATCAGACTCACCACAGTAAAACATAAAGAGTAGATTCTAAAATGTGCATGAAAGAAATGCCAGATTCTTTTCAGAAGATCTCCAATTAGACTCACAGTTGACTTCTCATCAGAAATCCTACAGGCTAGGAGAGAATGGTGAGATATATTCCAAGTCTTAACAGAAAAAAACAGTCAACCCCAAACACTATACCTAGCAGAGCTCTCATTTATGAATGAAGGTGAAATAAAGACCTTCCATAACAAACAGAAATCGAAAGAATTTGTAACCACCTGATCAGCCCTACAAAAGAAGCTTAAGGATGTGCGCTGCACACAGAAACACAGAAACATGATCATCACTACAAAAGAGGGTAAAGGAAGAAAACAAATCAGTAAAAGTTCAAAGGAAATTCAAAGTAAAAAAATAGGAATATTTTTGGAAAAATGGCAGAGTAAAGTCATTACTTATCAATAGTCACCTTGAATATAAAGGGTCCCAACTCACCAGTTGAAAGACATAGACTAGCTGAATGTATTAAAAAACAAAACCCATTTTCACTGACTTCAAGAAACACATCTCACCAACAAAATGCAAGCAGACTGAAAGTGAAAGGATGGAAAAAAGATTTCCATGCCAACATAAAACAAAAAAGAGCTGGCCTAGTCATCCTAATATCAGAAAAAATAGACTTTAACAAAAAAACTATTAAAAGAGACAAAGAAGGACACTATTTAATGATTAAGGGATCAATTGAATAGGAAGATGTAGCTATTATAAACATTTATGCACCTAATTACAGGCCACATGGCTATTTAAAAGAAATTTTAAGGGCTATAAAGGGAGACATAGACTCCAATACAAGAGTAATGGGGGACTTCAATACCTCACTTTCAGCAATGGACAGATGAAC